AATTACTGCTGTACAACTTAAGCTCAAGAATAAAAAGTTATATTAACTGGCGAGATGGGCTGCGCATAAAAGCATAAGACTACTCTCAAGACAGCCGTTTCTACGCACCGTAGTTGACCCGGATTTTATCGAGCCACGGGCTGTCACCCTTTCGGCGACTTAAACCCGTTTAAGTCACCAGGCAACAACAACGCCCAAGGGTGCCTCCAGCTTCCACGGCAGTGCCCGCTGCATCTTTACCCACTTTGGGTGACCAACAGACCTCTACGGTCTCACGGAGCTCCCCGCAGCATGATACTCACCAACCCCCACCACCATCCCTATTCACAACCAACTCTTCCTCCTCCTCCCCTGAGAGGGCTACCCAGCACAGTCTGTTCTGTTGTGTGTCAGGCCATAGTGCGTCGGAACATGAACTCAGTCAGATGCAACACTTGCTCTGGCTGGTGTCATTTTCGGACGTACTCAGGCCTGCGCACTACCCGCGAGAGGAGTGATACGCACGATGCCTCATGCTGCAGGGCCTGTTCAATAACCTTACCGCCAACCAACACCACTCCCTGCGGGTGGGGTTCATGAATTTACCCGCGGTAAGGAATGGCTGTCGTAAGAGGCGACTAAAATCGAATGGTTCCCGCGACATTCGGGTCTTTAAACCAGAATGACCCGGCCAAGGACTGTCATTCCCGCAAAATTTTCCAAAAAAATAATTCGGCATGAACCTCAGCGGGTAATAAACCAGCAGCACACTCGATCCACACATCACTCCCTCACTCCCCTTATGGCGAACATTCCCACGAGACAAACACGACTCTTACAATACACGGACTTCAAAGGAAGATCGACAAGATAGTCGACTATATGAGCTGGAAGAACCTGTCAATTGAGCGTCAGCCTAAGCGATCAGGCGATGCCGAGCTCGATATATTCAGGATATACATTCCTCCTTTTATAGGTGCGCTACTCAAGGGTGAAAACCGTTTGGTTTTGGGCGTCTTTAATACGCAACACGGTCTTTGGCATTCTAGCCTGTCAAATGATCGCAGAGGATTGGAGCTGGCAGAATATATATATGATTCGACATTCTGCACAATGAGCGACAAGACCTCCACCAGAGTTATGGGCATAACAATTGCGAGTGCTGGTCTGATAAACAGTATAGTCTGGCGACCTATACTGACGTTAGCATCGGACCACTTGCCCGTACAAATCCCGATTGACAGGCCTCCCGAGTTTGTTTCCGCGGATCATCGGACATTTATCAACTTTAAAAAAGCTAACTGGTCCAGCTTTACGGAATTCACCGAGAACGCCTTTAGTGCACTCCCCACTCCATCAGAGGTCACTACTGGTGAACGTTCCTTGCCGACTGCTTCATCACGACAGGCCGAATGGCGGAAATCCGCTCCAATTTTCCGATAGAAGCGACTGTTTTAGCATCTACTCGCGACACCCTTGGTAACTACGGTCCCAGGAATCCCCAAATCTGGGATTTAAGCGCGGAGCTTCGTAAAGAAGAGAGGAATCACAAGCGGAAAAAGTGGGAGGAGCACTTAAGGACCTGCAATCTCTCCTCTGGGGCAACCAAGCTCTGGACTACAGTCAAGTCGTTGTGTAACCTGACGATATGCCATGACCGGGTGGAAATTTCATTCGGAGATCGCCCCTAGTTCTCCATAAGGAGTTTCCGTAAACTCGTATGGCGATGATTGCACGATATTGGCGTCAGGCCAGGTTATTGATGACCTCTGTTCGAAATTGAACTGGTACCCCGACGATCTTTCTGACTTCTTCTAAGTTGCCTTAGAATAATAATCACCGGAAGAGAGTGAGCTCTTGCTAGGGTCGGTATCCTCGGTGAGGTGAGGTGCTAAGAGACAGATTTTATGCACACAACAGAAGTATTTCCAGCATTCTATGAGGCCTCTCATGGTTTTACCAGGACGAAGGCAAATATACGCAGAATGACACCCTGCATTTTCAGATAACAAAATGCCTCAACTAACAGTACCAGGAAAATCGAGGATGGAGAAGTAAAGCCAAAGACAGCTCATCATGATTAAACTTTGCTTTACTCAAAGCAATCTCGTTACAAAAAAGCTCGAAAGTTAATTCTAAAAATTATTTACTCCTAGATCTAAAAACTTATCTCCAAGGGTCTCCACGTGCCGGCAGTATACAGCGGCAAAGCAAGGTGGAATCTCCTCTTTTTTATAAATGATTGAAGTTGACAGCAACCAAATAGTTGCAAAAGAGTGAAGAAATATATGCGGTTCTCAGTATAGCTGTACCTCCGTAAGCTTTGTTATCTGGGCAATTACTGCTGTACAACTTAAGTTCAAGGATAAAAAGTTATATTTACGGGCGAGATGGGCTGCGGATAAAAGCATAAGACCACTCTCAAGACAGCCGTTTCTACGCACCGTAGTTGACCCGGATTTTATCCAGCCATATGTATGTCCTTCACCAGTTAGCGTATATTAACTATTATTTAATTTTATTGAATGAAATTTTGATTTTTTTTATAATGTCTGTAACTTTGTTTGTTTTTAATAGTTTTAGTTTGTCACTTAGCACTTCAATATTTTATGTGTTGAAAAAAAAGTTTTATATTCATTTAACTTAATTTTCCTTTTTTTGGATTGTTTAGTTTGTTAGTTAGTAACACTGCATTTATAGGATGCCAATTCAAGGTTGGCTCGAAGGACCATGTTTAAGCGAGGTACCTTCTTCGAGTTCCTTCGAAATAAAAAAGCCACTCGCGCATTCGTTTTTGTATATTAGTACATACATATGTTTATTTTAATTAACTTAACGATAATTTATTAGAAAGACGTCGGGTCTGGCGACCTATACTGGCGCTAGCATCGGACCACTTGCCAATACATATCTCGATTGACAGGCCTCCCGACTTTGTTTCCGCGGACCACCGGCTCACTTTAAAAAAGCTAACTGGCCCGGATTCACGGAATTTACCGAGAACGCCTATAGTGCTCTTCCCACTCCAACTGACGTCACCACTGGTGAACGCTCATTCCCCAGGGTCGTCGTGACCGCTGCCGCCCGCTTCATCTCGGAAGGCCGAATCGCGGAAATCCGCCCAAATTTTCCGACAGAAGCGGCGGTACTAGCCCCCTCCGACACGACACCCTCCGAAGCTCCGATCCCGGGAATCCCCTAATCAGGGATTTAAACGCGGAGATTCGAAGAGTCGTTAACAGTCATAAGCGGAAAAAGTGGGAGGAGCACCTAAGGACCTGCAACCTCTCCTCTGGGGCAACCAAGCTCTGAGCCACAGTCAAGTCGCTGTCTAACCCGACGAGACGCGATGACCGGGTGGAAATTTCATTCGGCGATCGCGCCTCGTCGGACCCGAAGAGATGCGCGAGCTATTTTAGCCGTCTTTTTACATTGCATCCCTCGGTAGACAAAGCGAAACGACGTGTGACCCGCCGTATGCGCAAGCTGCCAAACACCAGCGCGATGCTTGATTTCTCCAGGGAGGAGGTTCAGGGGGTCATCGGGAAGGCGAAGCCTCCAAATCCATCGGCTCCGACGGAATAAGCATGCTGATGCTGAAACATCTTGGACCAGCGGGAGCAGATTTCTCGCGAGGGTCCTCAATCTGTCTTTGACCACCCTGAATATACCCGACGTGTGGAAAATGGGTAGGGTGGTCCCGCTACTAAAACCGGGGAAATGACCCAAAAATATTGGGAGTAACTCTAGACAGCCTGCACTCCTTCACTCCGCATACGACCGCAATTGCCGCAAAACTCCAGAGCCGCAACAAAATACTCAAAGCGCTAGCCGGCAGCACCTGGGGTAAAGATAAAGAAACTTCGCTGGCTACTTACAAAGCAATTGGCCGGCCGGTCGTAAACTATGCTGCTCCGACCTGGACGCCGGGGACGAACGGGACGCAGATGAAGAAGCTACAGGCTTGTCAAAACACCGCCCTCAGGACTGCGACAGGAAACCTCCTGATGTCGCCGGAGCATCACTTGCACAGGGAAGCATCTATGCTAGGAGTTAAGGAGCATAATGCTTTGCTGTGCAAGCAGTTCCTACTGGGATGCTATCGCAGGGAGCCTCCACCTAGGCACATCAGAAAGGGAGTACTAGACTTTAAGGACACGATCCAGCAACACACACAACAACCGCTGGACAGGACGGCGTATCGACAAGCACTGAGCGCCATTCACCAGGAGTCATTTAACACCTTCATGGACTCCCTTCCAGTGAATGGCGTACTCGGAGATATACCACCACCCATAGCAGACAACGAGCTCGAGCTGCCTCGAGAGACTCGCGTGACCCTGACACAACTCAGGTCTGGATATTGTGGCACGTTAAACTCCTACCTATCCAGACTAGACCCTAACGTATGCCCGGCATGTGGAGAGTCCCAAGCAGACCCAAGCCGTCCCTTAAAAATACTATGCAAGCCGAGGCTGATGTTAATCCGGCCCAGGGATATTTTCTGGCCTGGCCGGAGGCCTCCAGATTATAAACACGTTTCACTTAGAAACACTGTGCAAAGCGAATGATTATTGGTCCACGCCAGGATTATTTTTTCCAAGTTCGTCCGAAACCCTCTAAATTATTAAGATGTTTTACTTAAGAATACTGTGTAAGCCAAAGCCGGTGTTCGTCCTGCTTAAGGTTACTTTTGTAAAGCGCAGCGAACCGCTACAACAACAACAACAACAAAAACAAAAAACTCTAAAAACAGCCGAATCTACGTACCGGAGGAGACCCGGATTTTATCCGGCCAAGGGCCGTCACCCTTTCGGCGACCTAACCCATTTAGGTCAACAGGTAACAACATCTGCGTGGGGAGGTTAATTCATTGACTCGAATTGGGTGGATTGAAAGTGTCCTACCACTTCCGAATATTTTCAGGATTTTTAAGTATTAGTCACGTGTTTTAATATAAAAAATTGGAGTATAACTATTATTACTATTAAATTTTTATATATAATTGAAATATTTATTACCTGAATGCCAATGAGAGTTTGCTCTCCAAAAACCGTATCATAGAGTTTATAAAAGTAGCTGGTATCGCTATTCCAAACCATTTTAAGAGCACCAAAGTAAATAGCTTAATATCTCTTCGAACAATAAATTTAACAATAGCACCTTCCAAAGCAGCAACATATATTGATAAGAATGTTCTTGATACCAAGCATAGCGAATGTACAATAAGTAGCCCACTTTCATAGCATGTCAATTTTGGTATCATGATTTTAGCGAGTTTAATTAAATGTTGTATGAATTCTCTATTAAGACCTGGCTCCAATTGAGAAGTTTGTGCTTTTATCTGCTTCACAATTAAATGCTTTTCTGCTTGAGCCAATTTTGAGTCATCGTATTCTCCACCAATGCCTGAACTTTCTCTATCTACTTCCGAGAGTGATGGCGCAACGTCGGTATTTAATATAGTACTATAACTTTTACCGATATTGTTCTTTCTCATTAACGTGTAAGTGAGCTTAAAAGTATAGGCACAGATTGCTGCACAGAGTAGTGCATTACTGATTATGGTCTTCGGCAGTGCACTTTGGTTGTATTTTATAAATTTCACATTGACATATTTTGGTAGTACAACCATCTTTAAATATTTTTCTTTGGTCCAAGAGAGAGTGATGCTCTCTATAAGCGTATATACATATATTTACTTCTCTTTTATACAAAATGGTAAATTTTTTTCTTCCTTTATTGCTGAAACAAAATGAATGAGAAACTGTAAGACATTTAAATTTTTATTGTACGAGTACTTAAAACTGCATATTAAACTATCCATTCTTAGTCCTAACTATTGCTTCAAGTCTTGTAACGGGTATATTAGAACACACAGCTTTTAATAAATAATAAATTTAATTGCACTCTGTGTTTAATACAAATAAAAGCTGTGCAGAATTTCTCATTAATGCATGACTACATCTAAAAATGTTATTTCCCTTGAATGGTAAATTTACTGATAGGGTAATTATTTAGGACAGCGGCTTTTGCTAAAACTGTCCAAAAATGATGGGGTTTTTGGCTAAATAGATGTATTTGATGATTATCTTTTCATTCAAAGTGGGGGAAAGCTGAACTTTGCTATAGTTTTATTATTAACTCTTTAACTCTTTTAAAAGTAAGATATGGCAACATCGCTTTAGCCATGTATTTGTTTGTAATGTGTGTGCTAGTGATTTTAGTGTAACTTTAAATGTTAATAATAATAAAACTATAGCAAAATTCAGCTTTCCCCCACTTTGAATGAAAAGATAATCATCAAATACATCTATTTAGCCAAAAACCCCATCATTTTTGGACAGTTTTAGCAAAAGCCGCTGTCCTAAATAATTACCGTTTGCAATTCCTTCCCTGGCGAACGCCTTATAATTTTCTTAATCACCCTTGTAAACTTGGATATTTAATAATATACACATTTTATATAAGTATATAAAACACAGTTTACTAAATTCAAGAAGTCATTTTTGTAAACATACAGAAAAAGCGTATTTCGAAATTATCGGTATGAATTCCATGAAAACTGTATCCGTAGTCCCCATTTGCGAAGTTAAGCTGCAACTACCTAACTCACGTACCAGCCGTCCAAATTAACTTATCTTATAAGAGTGCCATGTAAACACAAGTTGTCACAGCTTGCCCATGCCGTTAGTGACGGTTGCTATGATGACATAGGCTGCAACTACCGAACGCGCGTACCAGCCGTCCATAGTAACCTATCTTATGAGAGCGCCATGTAAACACAAAGTTGTCACCGCTTTCCCATAGCGTTGGTGACGTTTGTGCCGCAGAAACCAACGAAGTTTTGATTTTTTCTGTAAAACCGGCTCGGCTCATTTCTCGTTGTTATACAAGGTTGCCCGCATAGCCTTCCTTAAAGTAACATTAAATAATCGAAGATAATGCGTAGTTTTGTTCAAAAGATATGAAAAATAAATGCGTAACTAATTATTTGTTACCATATAGATCATGTATATTTGCCTTGTGTTTATGTTCAAGCAAATAAATTATGAAATTCGTTGACGAAAATTATGAATTTGTTCAAAAGTGTGTAAACACACAGGCAGCTGGCAACATTTCTCCGCTCTCAGCGGCGTCGATAACTCGTGTATGTATTTCACTACTGACGTCGACACTTATGGACGGCTGGTGAGTGAAATGGGTAGTTGCAACCATAGATGACTAGATACGAAACTTGCTCAAAATCACTCAAAACGCAGCTGAAAGCGTTCCCCCATCTCACATTCTGATGTTGGCAGCAGTGTCAAATCGGGGAGCATTCAACATCTGATGTGCAAAGCGCACCAGTGCCACTAAACCAATAAATAAATCCATTGTTTATGTTTCAGAAGAAATTTTCTTTAGCAGTATATATTAAAGAAATCCAAATAAGTCGTTTCTTAATCACAGTGGAACTGTACAGAAATCATATAAAAATGCGGATTTTTAAACGTTCTCACGGAATCATCAATGATGACTAGATACGACTGTGATAGAAACATGAATTCTTTGGATTTTTAGGTATATTTTGGGTATTTTATTACAAACAACGGCGTCTTTAACTGCAATTTCACTAAAACATTTTACTAAGAAACAATTCAATATTTAATTAAATTATGTTTTCATAATAGAATTACAATAATTTTTTAACATTTACTGCTGAAGCAAATTTCTTTAGAAATAAAAACAATAGGTTTCTTTTTTGACATAGTGGTACTGGGGCATTTTTTTTCAATGTTCCCCGATCTGACAATGCTACCAATATTAACAAGTGAGATGGAGAACGCTCTCAGCTGCAATTTGTGTGATTTTGAGTAAGTTTCGTATCTAGTCATCTTTGACGGTTGT